CAGTAGATGATACAACACTTTATGCAAGTTTATTAGATCCCCAGTGCAAAAATTTAGATTTTATATCTTCACAAATTAAAAAACAAGTTATTCAAAATTTTCAGCAAATATATAATGAACAAAAAGAAGACACTCAGGATGTTTCAGAAACAGTAACAATACCTGCTAATACTGATGATCAAAGTCGATTTCAAAATATGTTATTTAATATGATTTCAGCTTATGATTCAGAATTAGAAACTGATGAGTTCTTGAGCTATCAACGGATATCTGAACTTCATTCAAAACAAAATTCATTAATATGGTGGGAAAGTCAAAAAGAAAGATACAAAGTATTATATAAATTTGCTTGTCAGTATCTTGCAATCCTAGCAACTTCTACACCAAGTGAGAGATTATTTTCAGCTGCAGAGATAATTATGAACTCACAGCGTACACTTCTTGAACCAAAATTATTTGGATAGATACTATTTTTGAAACAAAACTATGAGTATTTAGAATCAATTTGGCCTGATCATAACTAATTTAATTAAGTTGTAAGTACTTTCTACTTATTCTCTATAATTTAAATAGCTTTCAGTAATATTGCAATTTTTTATCATCTTCATTTCTTTTATTATCTACTATTTAGTTACTATTATTATTTTATATATATTATTATCTACTAATTCAGTTCATTATTTATATATATTATTGTTATTATCAAATTGATATAATAGTTTTGAAAAGTAAAAACAGACTTCAAAATTCTTACCACTTGTAAACCTGATGCTGATGTATCTATACAAATAAAAAATAAAATAATTAGTTTAAACTTTAATTAATATAAAAAGGCTATATTATTAATAGCGCAAATCTAAGTTATCACATTCTAATATCTAATTAGTTTTGATTTTTTTTATACTTATGTCCAATATTAATTTATATATATATATAAAAATTATAACTAATTAGATATTAAAACAAGATATCTCTAGTGCATACTATTAAAAGAGACTTAAATTATAATTCCTTAATGAGTATATTTAAATTCACAAAATAGTCCTGAACAAAATTATACTTTTTTTTGACATTTCCAATACTGCAATAAAATATAAGAATTTTTACTATACAAATAATTTGAAAAGTTTTATTGATTAGTATGAGTTTATATCACCATAGTTAATAATAATAACTCTTAATTATATATATGTATATACGTAATACTTGATACTAAATTGTTTAAATAGCACTTAGTATGATTAAATAATTTGCATGACTTGTAAATAGTACTGTACATTGTGAAGGGAAGATCAATACCTTGGATCTGATATCACACCAATTCTTGAAATTTACAAATTTTATAGAATTTATATGATATTGGATCTGAGGTGTTGATCTCCTCTTCACAACATACAAGAATATTATGATCTACTTAAATTTAGCTTAACAAAATCCTAAAATTAGTAATATTATTAATGATTATTAGTAGAAATTGTATCTAGTTAGAAAAACAAATAGAATTCTTGAATAAGTAAATAAGTAGAAGTTATTTATTTCTGTTATAACTAATTATATCTAGTGTTAGGTCTGTTTATATATCTAATTATTTTTTTCAAAATTGGATATATAAAATTTAGATGTCTAATTGTTCAATTGTGTAATTTTTATATATCCAAGGTCAACACTGATTATATCTATAATTTGATAAATTGTCAGTTATTATTTAGTATAAGCTAGAGGGTGGAATAATTATTTGAGCATTGATCAAAAATTTTGAGCTTCAAAATAAACTTTATTTATCAAGTTTTTAACTTGATCAATTATCAAGTATTCAGTCAAAGTTAAATTTAACTATGTTCTTGATAGTGATAAATTTTTTGATTGATTAATAAATAACAATTTTATAAATTTTGATTTAATCAATTTTTCAAAATTGAATATTAAAAATATAATATAGTATAATTAATAAATTTAATGCTACAATAAAACTTTTTATAGTATTTATTTTTAAAGACTTAGTGAATATCGGTCAAAATTTTTTACTGATACTTGAAACTCTAAAGCTTATAACTAATCAATGCTCAAACTTTATTAATTCTAATCACTAGTATAAGCCTTATAATCTTGTTACATGTAATTCATATTAGCCTCAGACTTGTTATGCTTATTCATATATAACAAGAGAGGATTTGTAGATGATTATATATAAATGCTATTTTACTTAATCTAGAGTTACTACTGTATTAGAGCTAAGTTGCTAAATACTTTTCTAGGTATACTATATTTTACTAATTGAAAATCTATACAGAAAGAAAGTATAATAAATGAAGGATTTCTGTTTATTATATATAACTAATTATCTAGAGTTTTTATATTTCACCAAATTTTATCGATTGCTATAGTTAGCAAATTTTATATATGTAATTATAAACTTTTCTAATTATATTCAGATCTATACTAAGTAAATTCTACCTTTGAGTCTTAGTGATATAATGATAATAAGTAAAATTATTTACAGATTTTTTCTTATTATCACTTATATATAGCGTTCCATTATACTTGATCTTGTTTCTGATTGGTCAGAATTATGCTATTATCTATAGATAATATCTGTATTAATAATAATTATCCGAATAAATTATCTGTTGAATGTAGCTATTATCTGTTATCTGTATTATCTGGATAATCCGAATATTAAGCTTAACAGATCCAAATACTACTTCACCTTTTTCCCAATTATTTATATCTATGTATTTTTTGATTCAGATTTTTACATATACATATTCTATTCAGAGATTCTAAAACATATATTAGAACTTTATAGTAGATTTTTCTGTACTAATTATTTCTTTTATTTTTTTAGCAATACTTTTATTTAGAATTCCTCACAACTATTCAATGTTTTGAGCTTGCTTTTCTCTTTCAGATATTTTTGTCATGATCTGCTTTAACTTATAAAGATTCTAACTTTTTTCTCTTCTCTTGTCACTTTGCATCTTTTTTCAAACTTCTTTATTTATTATTGTTAGTGCACCTTGCATTTTTTTACAGCAAATAATATGCTCATTTGATTTTGGCTCAATAAAGCACCTTTTGTATATACTGTTCTTGTATATATCTGATTTTTTGTTATTTAATACTTTGACTGTAGAAAGTAAGTTTTCAATACATTTGATTTTAAATATATATAAGTAATTTGTTTTTATACTTCTGATCTGTTGCTTATAACAACTTTTTAACAAGTCTTTGAATACTTTCTAGTTCTGGCTTCTGAGGTAGTACTGGTGCTAATTATCACTCTTTTTCTTTAATTATATCTATTCTACTTTATATATTGTTTGAACTAATTTCTTAACAAATACTTTTAATAGTATGTCTAATTTGCAACCTTTCTACTTCAGAATAAACTTGATATTTTTGATACTGATATTGTTAATGTTTAATGATATATTTTTATTTACATATTCTTTTGCTAGCTAATCTGCTATGTCATTATATAAATCACCTGAGTATACTTTTACTTTAGTTAGTTTTAATTGTATTTTTTTGCTTTTACAAGCTTTGACTATTACTCATGGAAGGCTATTGTTTTTAATTTTAAGCTAGTGTCATGTACTTTTATTCTTAAGACTTTCTGTTATTACTGATATTGCATAAATACTATCTGTATGTATTTCTATACTATATTTATTTGGTGCTATTAATACTACTATTAAACATGCTACTAGCTCCACACAAGTTGATGAAAACTAGTTTCTAATTCTACTTTTATAACTACATACTACTTTATTTTGCTTATCTATTTGTACTATACTATATCTTATTTTTTACTATATGTTCGCTTTGTAATGATCTATCAGTATAAACTATTATCTTTTTCCTCTCTATATTCCTTCTAAGACTATCTTTTAGCTCTACTTTTATGCTTTCTTCATTAATTACCTGATTTATTAATTCTGCATCCCAATTGTCTTCTATTAGTACTTTCTTGAAATCTATAAACTTTTTTATTTCATTTTGCATTGCTATTTTCTTTTCTTTTTCATCTTTTCTGAATAACTCCTCTTTGTTTGCTATTATATATAAATTGCTTTCCTTCTTTCTAATTAGGTTTAAGATATCTTGTACTTCTTTTAACTTTACTTATCTTCTGATATCTTCTTTCTTCATTATTTTGAACTTTTCTTTATACTTTTCTGTTTGTTATCTTTTGTTTTCTTTATCTTCCTCCTATACTTTTACTTTTGCAGTTTTTCTACTTTTTCTTATAATACATTCTACTTCTGTTCTTCTACTTGTACCTGTCTCAAATAAAATCTACTCTTTTTTTTTTTTTATCTTTAAATATCTTTTCTTTTTTCTGCTTGATTTGTAAGCCTTCTTCTTTTTTAAACTTCTCTTTAATTCCTTTTAAATACAAGTCTTTAATTATTTCTTTTTCGAATATTGCAAACTATTTCACTTTTTTTTCTACATGTTTTCTTCTTATCACTTTGAATTGTCTTTAAGTTATCATATATTCTTTTCTATAATCAAGTAGCTGATTTAAATATCAAATATTTAGCTTACTAGCTTCAAATATGCTCTTTCTTCTTTTTATTTTTTTAAGTATATTTTCAACTAGCAAATCTTTCTTTCTGTTTGGCCCTATAATATTTCAGCTTTCTGTATCTATACTGTTAAAGACTATAAATTTGAGTTTCTTAGCAAAGTATAATATTTTAGCATCTAGGTTTTTAATACTAGAGCCTTTTCATCTATTGTTTTGTACTAATAGTATATACCTTACTGAGTTTGTATCTAATTAGTATTGTTTGAGTTGCATATTAGTTGTATTATCTAAAAGGCTATTTAATTTATACGTATAAATAGCTCAGATATATAATGCTCTATATGCTTCTATCATAAACTCATAATTTCAAAAATTTCTCTGTATAAGATTATTGTATTTGCACATATAATTAGTAATTCAGCTTTTTGCTTTAGTAGTCTAAGAAATAGTTGATATATTTCATCATATTTCTTTTGTTCTATTAATATATTCAATAGTATATATTCTAATTTAAACAATAGAATTATGTTGTTTATATATACTATTTGATTAACTGATAGTTTTTTCATTCTTAGCATACTTATTATACTGCTTACTACTTTTCTACATTGATTTATACTTACCTTTTTTTGGGTTTTGAGATTAATTTAAACCTCTAAGAATCTTGTACTTTCTCTTACTTTTTTGATTTCAATATACTCTAGTGGTATTCCTATCTAGACACTATCTAATGTTTTAAATTTTATATCTGGTCTCTATATGATTATTTCAAACTTTGCTCTATTAATCTCTATATCATTTAGCTTAAAGAACCTATTAAATATATTTATAATGTTCTGTAATGAGTTTTTGGATGATATGATCTATGTAGTATTGTCTGCATAGGCTAGCACTGAGACTTAAATTTTTCTTTTTTTTGAAATATTTTTA